AAAAAAAAAAAAAAAAAAGGATCTTACACCTACATCTAGAGCAATGTTCTGGGTTTTCATGCATATAATTATTGACATGATGACCCACGTAAGAGCACAGTATTTTTCTTTCCTTATTTCATTCATTGTGATTTGTGAACATTGACAATCTTCTCTAGTTAGTGGACTCACCATTTTTACTTTCATTGCAGCTAACACAGAAGATTATTATGGGCACAGAAGATAATCCAACCTGCTGCAGATTCCATTCAAACAAATGCTGGCGACATTACATAGAAGATGTCACAACTCGAAATCTCGCCTGCAGTGACAGGATTTATTACGACTTTAAATGGAAAATTAGACATCGCTCATCAGAGCCGTGAGAACCACACTCAAGGTGTATTATGACTTGCAAATGGATATCTAGGCATAGGAGTCATTAGTATGAAGCTAGACACTTTTGGTTTCGTTCTATTAGGTCCTTAGAAATTGAATTGGAATTGCTGTAACAAATTTTCTAGCATGAAGTAATGCAAAACAAGAAATTATTATCGGTATTGTCTATCATGATATGGTTGCTGTGTTAAGATGATGACACCATAATTGTGCTTATGACAATTCTCAAGGCATTTGTACTCTTGTAGTAATACCAAGTTGTGCTATCTGTGTTACATATTTTGACATTATGTATTGCATGTGCAAAATAAAGGTAGGTAAAGAAAAGTTGATTAGGGGTATTTGTGCTTGAATTTGATTCTGTACAACATTGGAAATTTGGTGTTTAAAATGGAATTGGATGTAATGCCGAAGTCAAATTGTAATTAAGATTCACATGGCGTGTGATTCTGAACTCAATTGTAAATTTGTCCATGAATTTTAATTTTGTCAGATGTTATGTTCGTCTTACCTTGTGAACGTGTGATTCAGTTTTTGTAGGAAACGAGAAGGATGATCAAATGACCAAGAATGAAAAGGCAATATATATCGGACCATGGGGCAGACCCGGTGGGAATTGCTTTGACGATGGATACTGGTCCGTGTATCGACTCAATACACATGTTGTATGATAAGAAAGTTATGCCGATGCTGAGGTAATTAATATATTTACTGTTGTCATTTGGTGTGTGGTGTGTCATGAAGTTAAGAAGGAAAAAAAAATGTTGGAAATTGTCATCAATGTTATTGATAGAAATTTAAACTTATGATGTTGAAAAAATTTATCCTGAGGTTTGACCAAACAGAAAAAAACTCTGTTTACCTTTCTAATAGACGTAAGCACTTGGTGTTACAAACTTTGAATAAACCCATAAAGGTTTGCATTTATCTAACACGAGGGTGCATTTTTTTAAAAGAGACAACTTTCTAGGATGTATTTTCAAAACCGATTCACGAATGCCATTTGCCATGTGACCTGCTGCAGATAAATTTCGTCTGAGTCGGAAAAAATGGTCGGTAGTCTTAAAGACGAAAGAAACTGGTTCTCTCAAAATTCAGTTTTCTACTTGAGGGATTTATTTTTATCGTCTTTGTAGATTAAGTTTTCACTATGGCATATTGAAAGATTTGAATGCATGCAAAATTAATATTAATTTTGCTCCCGAATCTAATTGGAGGAAACGAGGTTCAAATTTACTTGGATACCCTGATGTTCCAATATGAGAAACTCGTTCTAGTCCATGATAATTTGCTATAGGTAATTTGATATTTAATGTCTTGAGATTGCGAATAATTATGCAAATTCACTTTATGCATGTTTTTACATGCCAGAAACGCTATTTAATACAACAAGAAAATTTAACTCGACCGTCCCCTTAATTAAACAAAAAACATTCCAATATTCGTTCACTTTGAAACAGGTACATGGTCATCTGATCACTTGATCACACTAGATTCGAACTATGATGATGGAAGTGGAACTACTATAGTGACTATGATGATGGAAGTGGAACTACTATAGTAACGGGCCACTACTGCTCGGTGGTTCGTGGTGGCAGCCCGGTTCTCCGGTACATTATGTTTGGGCCTTATGGAGTTGAATATCCCAATGGATGGTGATAAGTTGTGGGCTTCAAAGGCAGGTGTGATGCAGAAAGTCCAGTAGAGGTTTAATTAGAACTTAGAAGGCGGACTAGCTCTCTGTCTCTTGCACCTCCTAGAGATGCCGATGAAAATCGAGTTAAACCAACGAAAATTTCTGCGTAGAAACTCGTATTTATGTCGATCGACTGAGTTATTTACTAGTTTTTGTATTTTTAGAATAGCTGGTTTTCTCATCTATTATGAACTCATGATGCATATATGATTTTTTAAGCATGGGAATTAAACTACATATTTATTAACTTAGGCTTTTGTATTTCATTTGATTCTACATTATATAAAGTTTGCTCTTTAGCTTGTTAACAACTTAGTCAAACTTGAATAGCACCATCTAACTGTGCTTGCGTCATCTGTGACGATTGCTTTTTCTTTTTTTTTTCTTCATTTTTTTAGACTTTTTTTTTTCCTAATAAAATGATTGTGCACGATAATATACGTTTTAAAGCTCACGCTTTTCCTTACATTATAATATTATTTTTTAAATAAAAATCATCAACTTTATACCTCACTTTATAGTGAAATAACATTTCTTTCAAATGAAGTTAAGAAAAAAAAAACAAAGAAAAGATCCTATTGTGTTGAAAATAAGATAAAATTTTGATTAAAAAATAAAAGAAAAATAGCAAAATAAAAATGAAATTGGAGCCAAGTGGAAAGAGATTCTGATGAGTGATTATTATAAATGAATCAAAATCTAATATCAGTTGAAATGAGTCAAAAACATTACATAGGAAATCTCGAATAAATAAAGTATTATAAATGAGATTATGATCTTTTTTTTTATATCAAATATGTTTCAAGCGAGATTATGAGCTTTTCTTTATAATATCAAATATGATTTCTTTTGTGAACCAAATGAAATTTTTTGTAATTTTGCTCATGGGATCTACAAGCAGTTCACATGATTTCTTTGGTAAAATTTCAAAAATAGTCAACTATGGTTATTTTCCGAAAAAAGTTTATCATCTAGGCGTTATCAAGAATGGTCCACTAAATTACTAATTTAATCAATATTCGTATAATAACCAACATAGTGTACTAACAGTGATCATTTTTAGTTGCCATATTTAGTACATTATGTTGGTATTTGTACGAGTTTTAGTTAAAATAACAACTTAATGAACTATTTTTGAATACGTCTTATATGAGGTCTTATATGAGGGACTATTTTCAAAAAATGATCTACATAGTGCACTCAAAAATGAAATTTAACTTGAACCAAATATGCTATTTTTGCCTTTAATATTTTTCATGAATTTCTCTCTCTCTCTCTCTCTCGTCTGTGTTTGAGGACAGTCTGTGTTGGCCAAAAAAAGGTATTTTATTTTCTCTATTTCAATCCCATTTTTCTTCATAAACTTCAGTTTTCGTCATCCTCAGTGCCACCCTTAACATAAATAAGTACAGAGGCAAACTGCTTTCCCATCTTTTTCTGTACCAAAAGCAATCTTTTGTTGTTAAAAACAAAGCTGAAAAAAAATCCACCATCTCTCTTATGCCACCGCTAAAAAAAAAAAGCTTGGAACTTTGCGTTGCAGATGAACTTGTGGAAAAAAAATAATTAATGGGTTTTGCTCCATCTTGAAAATGAGGAAATAAACACTGAAACAAATAAGTTCATTTTTCCGTTTTAAATGTTTTTGTAGAAAATTGTTTTACCAGATCTATGCCTCTTTTTCTACCCTAAATAAACCCCTGTCACCCTAGTTTTATTGTGCTTTTTATTTATTTATTTATTTATTTTTTCTCTCTTTTCGCCTTGTGGTTGAATATTTGATTTTGGCTGTTCTTGGGTTTGTTCGTTTATACTTATTTCAGATTGTTGCTGGGTTTGTCCTTTTTATTTGGATTCACTCGAAGAGATGCATGGTGCTGCCATAGGGCTTTGGGGGAGTTTTATGTGCTGGTCTGGCTTGAATTTAATTATTGCTGGAATATCCCCAGCTTGTTTTTTTCTTGTTTCATTTTTCCTGGTTAGGTTTTAGGGGGGGAAAAAAAGAAGAACAAGAGTCCCTGTGTGTGTTGTTTTCGGTTTTGGCTTTGTTAATGGGGAGTTCTGGTGAAGACCCGACCAAGGGCATCGATGGATCAGTGGGCGGGTTGATTTGGGTCCGCCAGAGAAATGGGTCGTGGTGGCCCGGCAAGATTCTCGACCCAGACGAGCTGCCTGAGGGCTCTCTGCCTTCACCAAGATCAGGGACCCCTGTCAAGCTTCTTGGTAAAGAGGGTTCAAATGTGTAAGTATAAGTTTCTAATCATTTCAAATTTATATCTTTAATTAGGTTGTGTTCAATGTGCAGAGATTCTTACTAGTTATCTGTTTCTTATAACGTTGAGTTAGTATGTGGTTGTGATGTGCTAAAGGATTTGTGTTTGGTATGGTTACTCATACATGAACTTCACGTGTACAAATCGACGTCATTAATATAAACGTAGCATCCATCTAGTATATCATATCGTCAAATGGAAAAGCGGTTTCGATTATGAAAATCTGAATTGTTTTCATATGGCTAACTAGAACTGTTATAGGTTAACGAAATAATGAACATGCCATGTTTTTTAAATTGATCCATTATTATGTGGTTGGTGTTGGATAAGCTTGACAATTGCCGTTTTGGTTGCTAGGTCCTTTATTTCATTTTACTGTGTTGATCATTGATTCCATTGCTGTTGGAATCTTTACTTGATAGCTGATAGTTGAACAATCAAACATTGTTTGCAAGGTTTTGTTGGTTTCCAAATTATTTGTAACAATAAAGACTGTTGAATTCTGAAATATACAATTATGCTCTTTCCTATTACCGTCTTAGTTTCAGAATTTGATTTTCTTTATTTCGGTTGTGCATGTTAGCAGTTCTTTTTTCTAGATAACAAGGCATGCTATCCCGTTCTTGTTTATTAACACATGAAAAGGTACCGACATGCATAGTTTATTTATTATGGAGTACATGAATGCAAAAGTTGTTTTATTTGTGATTGTGTGGTTGATTTATTTTTCCTTTCCTAGAACATTTGTTACTTAAAGTGGTGGTTCATTTGAAAGTTAATTTGGTTTAGTTTATCATATAATTGACGTAGGCATGTTGAGGATATGTGATTAACAAATGAATAATCGAGTTAATAAATGAAATTCAGAGTTTGCTTGTTCCACCTGTTCCAATCCTTGCTCATTAGCATAGCAAATTAATGACTAGCCAAAACACAGCCATTTCATGATAAGGCTGAAGGGAAAGATGTGTAGGATGGGAGGGATATTGCTAAATTAGGAGATGATTGCTGACCGTAATGAGCAAAGTAGAGTAATGGTGTGGTAGGCAAGTTTTGGCTTATGCAGTGAGTTTGGCGTATGCCAATGAAACTCATGTGTTAAGGGCTTTTTGAATTGATGACGTGTATCTCATTTGTGTGAGTTAATATTTGTTCTAATAAAAGCCATTGAAAAGAAAAGGGAAAACTTTATTTTGGAATCCGATTCAGTTTTTTGGCTGTTATAATTATATACGTGTTCGTTTTGGGAAGTTAGTATCTGAGACAGGATTTATAGAAAATACTTGGATTTTTTTATTTTATTTTATTTTTTATTTTTGGTCTCATTTGCTTCTTAAAAGAGGAAAAAGATGGATCGACATTTACGCCCTCCATATAATGGAAATGATGAAAACAAGAAAAAACCATAGATATGCGAGGACTTATCGTGAAATCCGATGCCACTCTCAATTCTTGGAAGCTGTAGATTCCATGTGTATTTATGGTTGACCTTCTAGGGTACCAACTGACATGCAAAACTGAATTATATTCTCCACGTTAAAAAATTATCGGCATGTGTTGATTATTTACATAGATTATTGTTCTTTCTGGACTGTTTTGCATATTTGCTTTATCAATCGGTGGTCAATAGCCTTTTGTTCTGCTGTCCTTGGCCTTTTTTTTTTTCTTAAATGTTTCCATATCTGAAATACAAAGCTTTCCCTTTGAAAAAAAAAAAAAAAAAAGAAATAATAAGAACTCCTTGATGGTGTTTGTCCAGGGGATGGTATAATCTCGAGAAATCAAAGAGGGTTAAAGCATTTCATAATGAGGACCATGATAAATGCATTGAGCAATTGAAGGCATCCAAAAAGGCTATAAAAGATGAAGCCATTCTTCATGTGCTCGAGCTTGAGCTTGAGCTTGAGCCTGAGCTTGAAAGTGGCCGTCCTGGCAAAAACCATGCTGACCATGAATCACCTTCAGCATCTTATCTGAGTGAAGAAAGTGAAGTTCCCGATGAGAATTCGAGTAGTTCAAGAGGTGGTTCAGGTGAGGGCATCAAGAAATTTGACAAATTGAGAGGTTTGGATGACCCGAAAGAAGATGTGTCGAGACATACAAGTGGGCTCTGGGACTTGAGAATGAACTTGCCACTTTTGTCACTTAAGAGGAAAAGATCCAAAGTTGCTAATAATCAAGAAATATCGAAAAAGAAAAACAAGAGACGTACTTTTACCGAAGTCTTGGATAGTACTGCAACACTGGTGTCTGCTCGTGTTGACAAAAATATGTCGAGCACAAATGGTGTTTCTTTGATGGAAACCAAAGAATCAAAAGAAAAAAACTTGGATAGCAATGGAGTGTTGTGTGATGTTACCCTGAAAAGCAAGCAGAAGGAAAATGGGATTTTTAGCAAGCTTGGCGGGAATGAATCTTTTGGCAGCTTGTTTGATGTGTCACTTGTTGCAGAAGAAAAGGGCTCAACAGGTATGACATATATGATACAGGTGGTTTTAATGTAGTTAATATTTATGCAAACCTCTCACTCTGCAGATTTTCATATAGATTGTTACAAAAGATAACCTTGAGGTTTAGTCTAATTACAAAATAAAATCAGCATCGTTCAAAATAGCCCAGATTACAAATTTTATGGCTGCGCGGACTAATCACCAAAAATTCTAGATATATATCTTCAACTGTTACATACTCCCAGTGAGGTTTGTATTTTCTCATTAAAATACAGTGTCAAAAGGTCAATCCATGAAATTGTCAAATTATTGAAGGGATTGTGTACCTTTTTCGGAGAGATTTTTTTTTTTGTTTTGAATTTTTGGCAGTTATACAGAATGTCAAGGTTACTTTTCTAAAATGTACCTTGACTAACAGCCTTGACTTATAAATGTAGCTTTATATATACATTTTCGATCAACAATGTTCATGTGTGAATTTATATAATTCCTCAGGCTTGCCCTCCACTACTCCCGACTCATCGCAGGAAGCAAAACGTGCTGAAAATTTCAAGATCTCATCTTCCCAAAAGAAGGAAAACAACGAGCCGGGCCACACGGGCTCATCGGTTGCAAAAGGCAAATATCCCGAGTGGCAGGCGAAAGGGAAGCGAAACTCCAGGTCGAGGAGACACTATCCCACCCACAGGGCCGAAAATCTCACATCAGACCCCACCGAGCAAAGCGCCCCCAGATCACTTC